ATCTTGTCATGACTCCAACCAGTGTGCTGGTAAGATCTGGTCCCTGTAGGAGCTGTGCATTCAGCGATGTTCCCTGGAATGTAGCTGCACAGTCAAATACGACCCTGATCTTGTTCTTCATTGGGTGGTATACACCATGGTGTGGTATATACCATACCCTGCCGTCACTGCGTTCCAGATCCACAACTGGCACTTTCTCTGCATAGCCCTTTGAAAGGATGTCATTCATGAAAGCGGTATAATCAGCATGAAATGAAACCTCTTTATCAAACCTTCTCTTGAGGCTCAGTGTACGTTGTTCTGCTACTCTCCTGTTGTTTGGCATACTAACATCCCTTTTCCTTAAAGGTAAGCCAATACAGTAATGGCCATGCATCAACTTAGCAGACTTTGTGACGTACTCCATAAAGTGACAGTCCTCTCTTGACGGTCCCATCTGCTCATCCTGACTGCATTCAGGGAAATCAGCCTTTAGCTGCTTCTTCCACAGATCTTCAAGGTTTGCAACAGATATCCTATTGACAGTGACATCTGGCTGTCCACAAGTAATTTCACTACTCCTGTCTCCTCTGAGAGGTCCATTGACAGTCCAACCCAGCATAGTTTTGACTGCATATGGGCCCCCGTCTACACTCCGAATAACTTCCCATGGCTCCAGTGCCTCAGGAACATTAGTCCCAATCAACAGGTCCACATCTGAATCAATCTCAGTAATCATTACATGTTTCAGGTGAGACCATCTCTGAAGGTCTTTCTGCCGAGGAATGTTGCCTCGATGAACTGGCATAGTTTTCTGGGTGTAGGTGTTAGGCAGCTCACAATAATGACTGCTGTCTAATCCAGCCACATGCCGGTCAGAAACAATGTGACTTCCAACTATTTTCTCCTGACCCATTGTCCGAAGGAGAATGTCTGTTCTTCTTCCCCTGAGATTCAGTTTGTTCATCAGCCGCTCCGTGCAGAATGATGCTGAGCTCCCAGGATCCAGGAAGGCATATGTTATGAATGTTTCATGTCCCTTCTTAGACTTTACTTGAATAGGCACTATGGAGACAGTACAATCTGGCTCACCGGCCCCTGTAAGACCACTGGACTGAACGGAGATCAGAGCACTGCTTATAGCTTTTCATTTAGCTTGCATTGTGTCAGTTTCTTTCTCTTTCTGATAGATATGAAGTATGCTTGGGTGCTTCAGACTGCATACTTTGCACGAGAGGCGTTTCCTGCAGTCTTTACTCATGTGCCCAATACACAAACATCCAAAACACACACCATGTTCCCTTAAGAAAGTGATTTTTTCACTATGAGCCTTTCTTTCCAGTTGAAAACACAGATCCAGTATATGTCCACCTCCACAAAACAGGCAAACACTTGTACCTAGTGAGCCTCTCTCCTTCATTCTTATTTCAGGTTCCACTTTATTTTCCGCTGTCGTAATAGTAGTAGCAAAGCTGCTTCCCCTCATCCTTGAACGAGGTTCAAACTTAGCTTTCCTCACATCTTTGTTGGCTGCTGGTGGAGTATCCTGTATATCTCCAAACAGTGGATCGCTCACAATATCCACCTGTCTTTCAATGAAGTTAACAATATCCATGAATGTAGCTCTCCGGCCCTGCCTTTTCTGTAAGTCATAGGCCAGAGTTCTCCATTTGTCCCTATATTTGTAGGGCAACTTTTTTATGATGGCTAGCATATTGCTAGGCATGTTCAACTCACACATGTATTCAAACTCTTCCATGACGTTGCAGCATCCTCTCAGAAAGAGACCGTAAGCTTGCAGAGCTCGCACATCTTCTACTCTTATTGGCTGTCATGAAAGAGCCTTTTCCATGTAGGCTGAAACAATGTTCTGTGCATTACCAAAATGCTCTTGTAGCAAAGCCTTTGCTTTGGCATATCCCCTGTCATGGGCAATATACTGACAGCTTCTGACAAGCTCCAAAGGCTGCCCCCTGGTGTACTGTTCGAGAAAATACAGGCAGTCTTTAGGGTTGTGAGTCTTCTCCTCAATGCTGTGCTCAAAAGCTCTTATGAATGCTTGATATTGAAACGGAGAGCCATCAAAAATCAGAATTTCTCTTTTAGGCAGAAAAGAAAGAGACTGTTGCTGAACCAACATGGATGTTATTTCATTTTGTCTTTCTAAGACATTAATTAAAGGATTCTGAGCACTGCTGCTTGGTGCCAGTGCTGCTGGGTGATTGCTTTGGTGCTGTAACTGTGGATGTGATTGTGTTGAACTTTGATGGATATTGGCCTCTGAGCTTCTTGTGGCTTGATGTTGCAGATGTCCATATTCTGCTTCATGTTCTCTGTGCGAAAACTGTACGTCAGACTGGCCACCTGTAGGCCTGTTTGTGTCAGGCACAAATGTTTTTGCTCCAGCACTGAGTGTGGCTTCCTTTCGTCCCCTTTCCAAATAAGAATGCATGCCATTGGGACTCACAGATGTGTTACTTGCAGCACGAGACCTTCCAGAGCGTCTTAGCACATTCATTTTAGCCCTTGATGCGGCTATTTCCACTTCCATTTCCAGCTGCTCCCTCTGTTTCCTGAGCTGTTCCTCCTTTTTCCTGATCTCTTCCTCTTGTTCATCCAATGCATGCTTGTCTTTTAATAACATTTGTCGTGCCATGAGAGCGGCCATGTCAGCCTCAGCTTTGATGCATGATGATGTAGTTGAAACACTGGACCTGGTTCCAGCAGAGCTCTGCTTGCAAGACCCAATGCTTCCTATGTTTGAAACACTGTCGCTTGGTTTTATTTCATCTTGTGCTTCAGAAGTTTCAAAACAATTTGTGTTTTGAAACATGAGACATACTTTGCTGGTGTTCATCAGATATCTCAATTGAGGGAACATGTGCAATGGTGCTGCTCGGTTGTCTCCCAGTTTCAGAAAGCCATTGCCTGACATCGTCGATAAATCTATTATTGTATTTCAGTGTCTTGGCAAACCATACATTTAGTTTTTCCTGTTCGTCTGCAGGAAGAAGAGGAATTACAGACTTGTCGAACAGGATGGTTTCTTTAACCTGTTGAATTAAATGTTCAAATTGAGTTTGTATTTGTGAGGCGTTGTCATCCCTTTGCATGAGATCCTTCATTGTTTTAATCACACTTTTCATTTTGTGAACCTTTGATTGACATTCCTTTTGAAGCTTTTCCATTTTATTTGCCAAAGGCTTGGTAGTGAGTATCGACTCTCTCTTTTGTTCATCCATTTTTGCCACATTGACATCTGAATTTGATCCACTTATTGACATATCCTTTGAATGTTTTAATGAATGAACAACAAATGCTCCAATCCACACAACCTCTAGCGGCACAAACCAACACACGCAAGCAACAAGTCAGTCCCCAATGGACACGCAGCAGTAACTTATTCACACTGTGTTCTAACAAACATTTACACAGCATGAATGAAGAAGTTACATTCCGCTCGCTCCTGCTGCTGTGTGGATTGTCAGTCTTTCTTTATCCTCCCGGCAGTACGCTGAAGTTTCCTTAAGCCGCTCTCCAATACAGCGGCCAACACGGCGTTTCAAATGTTTCCTTTGAATTCCACAGCGTCACAGATTGATCCTAGGAATCTCCGGTGTTACCGATTTCCGTAGATCCACACTGTGGTACAAGTTTTTTTTTGTTGACTTAATATTGCGGCAGTAATCGTTAAACAAAGTGCCGCGAGGGACTAAACAAGAGAAAAAACACTGTGGACGCGCAAAAACTCAGTCTTTCCAAAAGTATGCGTTTGACCTTTTATTTCCAAAGTAAAAATGCAATATTCCATATCCATATGCGTATATCCTTGTATGCGTGCGTGCGGTCAACAAAAAATGTCCTTCTCTAGCTCACTCCCCCATCTATTACAAAGTGCGCAGGTAAAAGCAACCGGATATAAGCACAAACGTCACCACACAAATTCAATGACACGCCCACCACCTATAGTGACTCAAAAAACATGTATCGTAACAAACACAGAAATGGCTTCATATGTGGCTCCTACACTGCCCATAAACAAGAAGTCCAGTCTTTTTTTTAATACAAATCTTAGGTCTAGGCTTAGAATTCCCAAGTCAAGTCGAAACTCACTCTTCGACATGGACCCTTTGATTCAAACCTTAGGTGTGTGATCTGATGTTACATCTAAGGGCTGTTTCATATTACTTTAAGGATCATCCCTTTGTAGCAAACATGGACGTGTGCAGAGTGAAGGGAATTTGGACTGAGGATGGAGATGACAGCGGTGGGTTAAGATCGTGAAAGATCTGTCGTGAGCTGTCATGACCCTAACAGGCAGGCGTTGGCACATTTCCGCCAACAACCAGACAGGGTCCGAGTGCCTTTTCAGAATAAATGACCTGGCATGTCTGTGAAGAGGAGAGAAAAGTGAGTCATGTCTGTATCTTAGATCAATCACCATTACACAAAAGTAACATTTTCAGCCTTGATCAGAAGCAGATTCATGTTGGGATCTACCATATCATCACGATCCAAAGCTGTTATCTTTAACCAGCATCGTGTATCCAAGCTGCCTACAAGAAAACAGTGAGCCATCTATGATCAGCACTATGTCGTGGAATGTCCATTTCCTCTGTTTATCCTCTCATGAGTAACCCATCCTCCTTTAGTTAATAAAGCTTGTTTGTGCAGTGACTCACACTCTATTTCGGTCTCCTGCTGCTCTCAACCTGATTTCTGCTGTTCCAGTGACCATCTGAAAAACCAACATCAGCTTTTGTAAAGCTGCCACCATGTGTTTACTGCACATCGGTTACCCATGGTGAGGCTTTGATCTTCAAACCAGCAGGAGCAAGCACAAAATAATCAAAGGAAACATGTTTTTGTTGTTGTTTCAGCATGGAAAGCACCACAGATGGGGAATAAAATCCCTTTTTTATTGTTTCATCTCCACCAAGTGTTCCAAGTAGACTAAGAATACTCACACGCAACGCAAATGCAGCAATCTGTCACCTCTCTTTTTATTCTCACACCTCCAGACTCCGATGAACCAGGCATCCACACGCTCCCACTGTATTTTCACCATGCACTTGTGCAGACGCGAGCCGGGCTCGGCCACCTTGCGACGCTCCAAGCTCCACCTGGTGGACTTGGCCGGATCAGATAGAGTGAGCAAGACTGGCCTGAGCGGGCAGCTGCTCACTGAGGCCAAGTACATCAACCTCTCCCTCCACTACTTAGAGCAGGTAGCCACTTCTGAAATGTTCTGATTTGTATTTTAAAAGTACATATTCTATATTAATATTAAAATGTATTTTACTTGCTTCCTTACAACTCTGATTATTCTGCTCTTGTTCACTTTCCTGTTCTTCAGGTGATCATTGCTTTGTCAGAGAAGAACCGCTCCCATATTCCCTACAGGAACTCCATGCTGACCTCCGTGCTGAGGGACAGCCTCGGGGGCAACTGCATGACTACCATGATCGCTACCATGGCAGTAGACAGGAGGAATCTAGATGTAAGGAGGGTCTGCATACAGTAAAGTCATGTTTAGGCAAAATTGTAGGATGCCCATGTCTACACTGTATTCCAAACATACTTATAAAACGTAATCTGCATAAAGCACAGTATAATTATAGTTTTCGGTATTTATAAATATGTATCATGCTTAATAAGTAAGGGATAATGTCAAGTATGTAAAGTGGACCTATCATGCAAAATGCACTTTTGTACGTCTTTTACACATGAATATGTGTCCCTGTTGTGTCAGGAAACTCACCAAGTGTCAGAAAACACAACCCTCTCTCTTTTCCTCCATACCCAAATCTCTAAAAACGGGGCTGCAACGGATCTGATACAGACTGATACAGATTTGAAAATTCTCTGACGTCAGGAACGAGGAGCTCCGCCTACTGTATATGGGCAACTCTCCACCTATCAGGAGGAGACAGCCACGGCCATTGCCGTTCGAAAGCGCTGGAGACGCTGTAGTACATATGCCAGGCCTGTAGGTGGCGCTGTAGTCTGCCACAAAAGCAGCGAAGAAGACTTCTCACAGATTCAGCCCTTGCAAAATCAGGGCTAAAAAAGAGCAAATGGAGCGAAATGAGGCATGGCTAAAATGCATGATCTGTTTGGTATTTTGAAAAAAATACTTCGCAGACATGTTTTATATAGGTATGGCCCTACAATATATTATTCAAATATAGCATGATAGGTTCACTTTAAATAAGCCCTGTAAACACACATTATATATAAGAGTGATTATAAGGTATTGTGCAAAGTTTATAATATGCTGCACCAATTGTAATAAGCAGTGAATGACCAGCAATAATACAGGATATCATTACGTTTATAATACATGGGCATCATAGAAAGTGTTACTGAACATTTTGCCAAAATAGTGAGGAGAAACAAGGTTTCTGAAAGTAAAAAACATATACTGTAGGCCATTTGGTCTTCTAGCTTTGTCTGTAATGCTTTCAGATAACCCAAGGTAAAATAAATATTAAGAACATTGTTGTCCTCGTTGTTGAGTCCTCGCTTGAGTAAATGTTTCAAATAATTACTACATTGAGTAGAAGTTCAATTCTTTCCTAAGGCAGACAAACAACATTCAAACATCTTTTTGAAACTTAATTTCTTCAGGAGTCCATCTCCACGTGTCGCTTTGCTCAGCGTGTGGCTCTCATCAAGAACGAGGCCATCCTGAATGAAGAGCTGGATCCTGCCCTGGTGAGACACACACACACTCACAGCACTTCACCAGTCACTACAACCACCATTCAGCCACAGAAGCATGACTTCATGTGCTCTGTCATTACGGCCTCATATCTTCCAGACCTTAAATTGATCAGCAAATGAGTTGCAGTGAGAATAAAGCGTCTGAATGTAACCCAGTTTCCAATACAAAATGAGTTTTTCCAGTGTCTCACACACACAGTAATACTGAAAGAAACAGTTTTCCACCTGCAACATGTGGACGCCTGTCCATCTTCTATTATTTAGACTGCTCACAGGTCCTGTTTGCATTCCCTCTCTGCCTTGTTTACATGCCTCCACTTCTGTTATGGCATATTTTATACCAATACCTTACAGCCTCTTGAGAAAGCCTCCAGCTTGTAACTGGTGTGTATACAGTATATGTCTTTACACACATTCATGCAAGGAAGCATGCATTGCACGCATTCCTTGCCAGATGTTGTCAATCTGAGGACATCGTTTTTAAAAAAAAAAAATTGTAAATATCATAACCCCTGACAAGATTCATGGCTAAACTACTGACCTGATTTACATTAAACTTTTTGGAAGGGGGTATCATGGGCCAAGAAAGAACCCAATAATTCATAGCTTTCTTCAGTAGCTATAAAGTCTGAATACATTTCTATTTGATGTTATATATTAGGCAATTAATTGATGTAACATATGAGGCCTCTTCATTGTTATATAAACCCTACACAAATGTCCAAATCTACCTTATATTACACTCTGATATACATTATATAAGGAGTTATTGGAAATCAGCAGATTGCCAGAGAAGCGTATGCAGGTTAACCCTCCTTCGCTTTCTCCTTTTACAGTACTTGTCACACCTTCCCCCATTGTAGTGCGCCAGGAAGCAGATCTGGTAGTTGTTGTAATAGCCCCACGGGGGATATATAGTAGTAAGTCATCACAGCCATATCCGCTTCCTCCCCTCCCACCCAGATCTGCCTGAGGATCAACTGCTACTGTATTACTGTTAGTGAGACTTGGCTGGCCACTTGCAAACCCTGCAGATGTATTTTTAAGAGAGTCTGCGGCCGGCGCAGTAATTGTGACAGTGTCTGGCTGCTCCCGGCACAGTTTCAACGCCATGCAAACCCAAAACTCTGCAGGCAAACTTCTCGTCTCCGTTTGGTGTGTTTCTCCTTTAGTCCGTTTCTCCCGTCTCTCTGTCTCTCCCTCTATCTGTCCCCCTGGTTTACTGAGAAAAAAAAGTTAAGCAAGCAGGGCAGTTTGCAGATTAGAATGATGTCATTTATCGTGGTTTGGGGTGACACTCAGACTCTCGTTTTGGCCTGGCCCCCGTCTGAAGGCACACTGTCTGTTGGCCCTGCCGGCTGTGGTAATTGATTTGAAACCTGGAGTTTGCCTTTTTCACAATCTGGCAGTGAGAGTTTGGTACATGGTTCAGACCACATGCTGCCCTAATGGTCCTGTGCTGTAGCCGGCAGGCTACACAATGCACTTTGTCAAATTTAAGAACAGCAGGAAACCAGACAGACCCGACAAAACATTGAACACGTCTCTGAGGGAAAAGGGAAAGAATGAGGTGTTGAAAGTGACCCGTGATCATAATGAAGTCAGCCATGGTGACCACGCCATATAAGGTCTGCTCTGTGGGTCTTACGGTTGCCTTCAGACTGCAGGCAAAAGGCGCCTCACCCGGATTCCTTTGAATATGTGAACGTATATTTTGCACATGTGAACCTATTTCAACAGTAGGAGAAGCACAAATAGCATGGAATCAGTATTGTTCAATTCTCCTTTGTGATGATATATTTTTGACTTAATTCTGCTCTCGTTTGAGTTACTGGTATAGAAATATCAAGATAGATGGCATGGAGGTAGTGTTATTGTGTATATATAGCTAGTTTCCATAGTTAGTATATATAAGTATTATTAAAGGGGCCCAGTCATGCTTTTGAGGGTTTTCCCTCTCTTTTGTAGTGTGTTTATAAAGGTGTTATGTAAATGGTCTGCAAAGGCTTAAATCTCAAAGTTACCTCCAGAGGGAGTTATCAGGCTGATCCTGCTATGCAGTAAGAATTATTTAATTTCATATTCATCAATTCAATTAAATATAAAGCTACTGGATCTTCTATAAAGCGTCCACCTTTTCCTGATTTTAAGTGTGCACTTAAAACTTGAGCATTGCATGAAGGAGGTGCTAAGCTTGAGTTGAGCGGAATCACCATCAAGATCATTCTTAAACGGTCAACAAAGTTGACCTTAAGGTGTTGTTATGCAGCTTAGGGTTATAGGAGGCTGGGCGACCCTCCTGAACCTCGACTCTCCTCATTCTCAAAGATACACAAGTCTCGCTTGAGAAGACAGCTCTGATTAGCACATACCTGTGAGTCAAACAGAATCCTGCTTATAGCCCACCAGAGAGACATGTTTGTGAAGAGGGTGTGAACATTCCTGCGGGGGGTTGCTCTCCGCAGGTCCTCGTCCAATAGCCCGGACTTCTTTAAGACAGAAGAGAGTTTGTAAGTGCAGCGGTGTGACTCAGTACAGTGCTCTTTGCCTTAAATGCCTTAATGGGGCCATGCATGGAATGCAGCCTTGCCCCTGTTTATGTGCAGTGGTAGACTATGACTCCTCTTCATTCATAAAAAAGGCCACATTATAGCAGCATGTGTGTGAGTGGCAGACTATATTATAAATGCATCTAAGGTGTAACCTGTGGTTCAACTGTAGTGCTTACCGTTTACTGTGGGTGGTTTGCTGCAGAGGTTGGATAGTAGAAGATGTATAATTGAAGGCAGAGTTTGGATGTTTTGAAGTGGGGTTGTATGAGGTACTTATCCACAAGCAGTATATATCCTACAGTCACTTCCTGTGGCTGGGGGCAGCAGCAACACTTATTTCAGCCAAATAAAAAAAGACTCACCAAAAGGTTTAAGTATGCACTGTATTTAAAATATTTGCAGGATCTCTCTGTATATGTAATAACATTAACATACGTAAGATAACATATAAAGACGATAATACATAAATCAAATGAAAGTACATCAATAGGCAGGTATACAGTTACAAGAAATCAACAAAAGATAATTGCAAATGAACCAAAGCCACACAATGACTACAAATAAACTGACCGATCCATCCATGATTACCCCCCTTTTCTGCAAGGTAAAATTACAGTTTTTTCAAAAGAGTGTCGGGGTTTTGGTAGAGTGGAAACATGGACTTAAGGCTATGCAACTGCAGGGTAAATGCGCTAAACATATTGGAAATATAGCGTTCACACAAACCACTGTTAATATTATGTGCTGGGCCTTTCTTTGAGGTGACAGAATAAGTAGTGGATAACAGTCAATGTAATAAAGTGACTGTGGATAAGTACAACCATATTTAATAACATCCAAATTATCCTTTTTAAGGAAGTACTGTTTTATGTTTCAAACTTCATTGAGTAGCATATTTGGCAGCACATATAAAGCAATACAGATATTCATGTGCTTTTTGCATGCCATCACAGTTATAATAAGCATGTGGAATGATTTCACTGACTTGGTTTCAATTGAATATGAGTCATATTTATTCAGAGTGTATAGCATGCAGTGGTGCTGTGGTACCAGCGTGGGCCGACGCTCCGAAATAGACTGCCCCGTTCCGCTGACCAATGACTGGCGGTCATTTTTTCAGGATACAGCTGGAAGGATTACATCAGGCCCCGGGCTCCAAAGAAGAGATGCAGGGAGCGGCTCTGGTGAGGGATGGTCAGCTATGATGTTAGAAAATACGATACGGGTGGATCTTAGCTGACATTTTGCATTTAGCTAAGTGGCATCTACCCAAAACCACACTGCAGGTCTGTTTCTCCTCCAGAGCATCTCGAGTTGACAATGTCTGACAGTATGACTGGCTTTGACTTTCCAAAAGCCACTTTTTGTGTTTGAGAACTGGCGGGCCTTTGCTGTATTAGATGTCGCAGTCTGACCTTTGCCCCTGATTTATTTTACTAACAACCAAGCTCCCTAGCGACTTTGTGTCAGGAGTCGCCACTTTGTGTTGTATTTGCTGTTTGCCGCTGATACCGCTGATACAGCCCTTCAGTCTGCTTTAGTGTTTCGCAGTGTGGTCAAATCCGGTGGTTATAGTAAAGTGGGATTTATACTGAAGAAAGAAGTGAATCATGTGAGAAAAGGAACAATTGGCACTAGGTGGTTTTAGTGTGTCGTTTTGTGGTGTAATTTTTGCATATTTTTTTATTTAAACTGGTCTGGCTTTCTTTCAAAAACAACAACATTCATTGATTTTGGTCTTGGCCTATTTCCCCACCATCGACATGTGATTTCACCACTTCTGTTAGGATGCAGGGTAGAACGGTCATCCTCTGATTCCTTTTTTCAAGGTATTTGGCCAGTTTGAGGGACAATTTGTCACCTTTTTATGTGAATCTTCAATTAGTGTTAACTGAATGTAGTCCATTCAAGCGATTCATTCCTCAGTGTTCACTATATTGACAGGGAACTTAGTTTTCCTACGGGGGATCCTACCAGGAGTGCCTACATACCAGGATGCGTTTCATCTGCACTGCTGATGTCAAGCCAAAATAAATGAAGCCTACACATGCATGCAGGTAAATATTTAAAAATACAAGGTCTGTAAGGTCTGTAGTCCAAACCAGCAAAAAAACAACGTTGTGGATATTGGATGACAGATTACAGCTTCACTCCTTCTGTTTTTTACTTGCACACAAAGGATCCCATATTCACTTTTGGAAACGTAAAAGGTTTGCAAAACAAGAGGACATAACTCTTTTTGAATGGCATCTAAAGCAACCCCCTTGGCTGAAATAGCAGTCTAAAGTTCTTCCTTGCCTCTTTCTACATCAGTCTTAAGGCGGCTCCGGATGCAAGAGGGACTTCAGATTTTGCAGCAGGAGAACTCCACTTTAAATGTATTAACAGTAGCAGGCACTGAGTAATCCTTCTTTATTGGTCGTGTGTTTATGTATGTATGTGGCCACGTTCATATTTAATCACAGCACCTCAGGTTCAAGTTGATGTACACTGCTAATAACTGCTCAGCATCAATATAAGGGCACATGTCAAGTGAGCTTACCTCTAACCTCTTGCTCCTGTTGTTAAGGAGGAGATTTATGATTGAATTAGTAATGTAGAGGGCTTTCTTTCAAAAGTGTACGGCATCAGCATCATGTGATACATTACTTTAATTTATCTCAATTACTTGTTCAAACAAATAATATAAACCTGGCAGCTCCTGTTTAGGTCAACCAAACACATCTCATTATCAACAGAGCATTAAAAACACAGAAAAAAGCCCAAACAACATTTTTGAAGAAGTTCTATCCCTTAAGAACACCTATTATTATTATTATTAACATCAATTCTTTATTGCTGCGTCTTTACATACGAGCAATGCATTTATGATCTGAACTCGCTAATCCTTGAGGTGCTAGGTAGCTAGACGCCTGCTAATCCCTGCCTAGACTGACATGAGGCTGCTCAGACTGACCTCTGTAGGCATGGAAAAAGAGAAAGAGCGGCATGCTTATCTACAAAGACTAAAGGTTATATGTCAACAACGCCGGGCCCTGACACATCTGTATTTGGTGGATCCTGCTCATCATATCTGGTTCAATGAAAAAGACTGTCAGGTGGAGAAGGCAGTACCTGGGGTGCACAGATTGGAAAACAAATTGCTGTCAGTATAAATCAGTGGAACGATGCTACAAGCTGTTTATGAAAACAATGTCCGGCTCTGTCATATTGTCTCTCCTCTCATCATGATTTTTTTAAATAAAAGACATTCCTGCTGTTTTATTTTTACAAAGATTGCTATCTAAGTACTTATTTAAGAAGCTATGTCTGGACTTGGTGAGATATTTTACTTTTTTAGATATATATGCAGTAACCAGAGCCGGCCAGCGGTTACTAACAGCAACCACTCTGTTGGCTCGGTGCGGATGGCCTTAACTAAACACGCGAGGACAGTCAGCAGCAGCAGCACAGGGTTTTATGTGAACTTTTCTTTTGCCATCGTAGCTTTTTTAATGCTGTTTTTATGTTTTGCTTCCTGTATTTTCTCGCTGGGGCATGCAGTTGTCTGGAATCACTCAAGTTTGTCCTCAAAATGCATCAGCAAGAGGATCATTTTCAGACGGATTGTCTCATCACTTGGCAGCAGCAGAAATCCTCTGTCTGCAGCGCTACTGTGTCTTTGTTTTGTACTGTAGGTGAAAGTATCATGCATCGTGTGTGTATGTGCACACATAGTCGACCTGTAACCGTGCTTTTTGTGGGCTTTTCAGCTAATAGCCCGTCTGAAGAGGGAGATCCAGTCTCTGAAGGAAGAGCTGGCCATGTTAACGGGAGAACAGAGGGACGGGCAGCTGACTGTGGAGGAGATCCAGAGGTTTGTCCCCTCAATCCAAGTTATTATTTTAAAGGTTTTTTATAAAATATGTCAGTAAAAACACAGTAACATAAATCTAACATATTAATAGCAAAGAGATATTAGCCTATTTGTATCCAACAGCAACAACATTTAATTTACATATCATCCTCATTGATGATATTCTTATATGAGCGAGCTAACCTCTCCTAAATCACTGCACTGTGTGGCAGTTGGCTATTATACATTTTGGTGTCGTACTATTGTAAACACTATAAAAAAAGGTCACTAAATGTAATTGTAGGCCCAGTTTATCATGACCAAGAGAACAAGATGGCGAATACAAGCGGCTGAAGCAGTTTTCCTCCGGAGGGTGGCTGGCGTCTCCCTTCGGGGTAAGCTGAGAAGTACAGCCATCCGGGAGGGACTTGGAGTAGAGCCGCTGCTCCTTCGTGTTGAAAGAAGCCAGTTGAGGTGGTTCGGGCACTTGGTATAGATGCCACTCAGCAGCCTCCCTAGGGAGGTGTTCCAGGCACGTCCAGCTGGGAGGAGACCGAGGGGCAGACCCAGGACCAGGTGGAGGGATTATATCTCTTCTCTGACCTTGGAGCACCTTGCAATCCCCCAGTCAGAGCTGGTTGATGGGAAAGGGACGTTTGGGGCCCTCTGCTGGAACTGTTTCTCTGGTAGCCCGACTCCGGATAAGTGGTGGAAAATGGATGGATGGATGGGATGAAGAAAAATGTCCAAGTCTGAGTTAAATAAGACTGCCTGTAAAACTATTTTATGACGCCCATGTCCATAATCTCAGGACAGACATGTACTGCCTCCAGGATGTTGAAGTATACGTCAGACCCAGGGAAGGGAGCAGATGGTCGTTTTTTGGACTCTGATTTGTATTTGTTAAGCTCCAAAAAACCCAGAGATTCTTGAGCAAATATGCTTCAAGATGTATAAGTATTTGGGTTTGCCTAAAGTGCCTACATAACTTATACTGCTGGCTATGCATGAATGCTGAGTTGAAACCTCATTCACTGAGGCTTATCCAGATCTAATGGAGTTTCCCAGGACTGCTCTCTTTAGACTTTAGGCAGAAGGAGCCAGCGACTCAGGCCAGAGTTCAGGACAGAGGTTCTAGCGAGGACTTTGCACACCGCCCCTTCAGCGCTGATGTATTTATTATTTTTATTATTTCCTCTCTGCCCAAGTGATTATCCTCGATTTCCCCCTGTTTGTGGTCAAACTCACACAGGGAATCTTTATAGCTACATTCACTGGACATGCTGACTTTTTTGTAGTCGTTACCTCTCTGTTTTATGCCCTGATTCATCCCCAGTGCCGAGTGATTTCACATATCTTTGCTTATTTTTTGTCACATTTCCAAATGCTCATATATTGTCAGGCATACAGATGGTTTTACCTTTCCAGAAGAATACTCTGCTCCATTCAGTGCTTTGTAAGATTCAGTAATAATCCTCTCCCCATGCAGGCTGAAGTTGTTTCTCTTAATACAGTATTTGTTTGCTCCACATGCTACATGACATTTCACCTCGCACTTTGGAAAACTCATTAAGAAACTCTTAAATTCTGCTGTTTAAAAGATGGATGTTTTTCCTTCTTTCAAAATATTGTACATGGCACTAAAGGGCATTCCCCAGAATCAAACCTAGTATCACAAAACCTCTGATGTCTCGCAGGGCCCTGAAACGAGACCACTACGTTTGTTTGAAGTCCTTTGTCATGTAAACCGAGCGTGTTTCTCCACTGAACATGACAGTGGAAAATGAAAACCGCACGTTGTCGTGCCTACATCGGATCCGTCTGGACGGCTGCCGCGGTCTTTTCCAGCGGCCGGGTCCAGAGCTCAGAGAACCAATGTTTGGACTATCATCCAGTGATAGTTTATCAACAGGGCCGGCCCAGTGGAGCTGAAGCACACGTTTAAGTAAATAGTTTTCTTTGAGCAGACCCACATTTTAAACACTCCTCAGATATAAATATTAACTGTTTGAGTGTGTGATGATTATAACATGAAATGTGGCACTGGTTTGAGGTCATTAGAAGGTGTGTGTGTGTGTGTGTGTGTGTGTGTGTGTGTGTGTGTGTGTGTGTGTGTGTGTGTGTGTGTGTGTGTGTGTGTGTGTGTGTGTGTGTGTGTGTGTGTGTGTGTGTGTGTGTGTGTGTGTGTGTGTGTGTGTGTGTGTGTGTGTGTGTGTGTGTGTGTGTGTGTGTGTGTGTGTGTGTGTGTGGTGTGTGTGTGTGTGTGTGTGTGTGTGTGTGTGTGTGTGTGTGTGTGTGTGTGTGTGTGTGTGTGTGTGTGTGTGTGTGTGTGTGTGTGTGTGTGTGTGTGTGTGTGTGTGTGTGTGTGTGTGTGTGTGTGTGTGTGTGTGTGTGTGTAGGTTGGAACAGTTAGTCAAGGCCTTTCTGGACGACCCTGATCCAGATGTGATGCTGTCGTTGGGACCAGACATGAGAAAAATCCAGTTCTGTTTCTCCCTGCTGAAGGTAATACTCCTCAGTCTATCCATGTATCCATGTACTGTACAGCATTTGTATGCATGTCTCCCTGTGTCGGTGTCTCTCTTTCCTTCTCTCTGAATCTGCTCAGGAAGCCAGGCCACAGGTAACTCTGATGCATATCAGCGCAGGGTTTTTCCGGAATGATCAATCAAAAACTGTCAACATCTTGTGCTTTTATCCTTATCTGTGTACTGAGTGTCCTTCCGCTCTTTGACACTCTGTGACTGCAAACGCTCAAAGAGGCTTTTATACGGTCCTGTTTTTACCTTTTAGTCACTATTCATCATGACAGTCAATTTGCAATTTACTTTAACTAATAATCAGTTATTTATTTGTGATACCAATGCACATGCATGCTGCTTGACTTCCCTAAATGGGTCCTGATGAGGCAGGATAACAGTCAAGAAAACTCTCCAATCAAAAAGGTACCTGACAGTCTGTATGCCTTCATGTGTACTCTTTTTGGTTTGTTGGTGTGAAAGCTCCCAAAGTGTTCGTGCTTGAGGTCCATTGGTACTGTAGGAGGGAATGGATAGAGTCAATTGACCAATCCCTTCCTCCAAACAGCTCCCTCTAGTGTCCTCCGCCTGAAAAGGCCTTAGTTTTCATTGAGTAAAATGTCCTCTCTTGATACATGTGATTTTTGTTACTGTAGATTTTTACTCTATCATCATAAAGCAAAAGTAGAATAGTTTCACTGATCATGATCATCATGATATTTAACGTAGGTCCAACTATAAGCTAACTTCAAATGCTTTATTCTTAAGGCTACCGCTAGACGTAGGCAATATTTTGCAATCCACTGATGCACAATTATTTTCAGTGCTGTTGATTTTCCCACGGCCTGACTTAGTCTAGAGTCGAGACACTTGGTGTTTTTCAGTTGTTTGCCATCTAGTTAGAGGCAAGGTGTAACGTGACATGCAAACGTTAACTAGCTCTTAAGATATGTCACAACAGCTAAAAAAACAAACCAACACAGACCTACAAACAAAATGATGGTCTGAAGTTTTTGTTTTGTTGCGTCCTCCGTGCAGAATTTCTGTTATAAAATTGAGTGCAGAAAAATGCTGCCTACAGTATTAGTCATAAACAGAAAATGAACCAGCAGTAACTCATGAGTTATAAACTTTGATCCGAGCAAATGATTAAGCCAACATATAAAACCTTTTCGGGTTCTGAATAAAAAAAACACACACTTTCTGATATTGTATAAGTCAAAAATATCAAATTAACTCATTAATCAAAAATTTAAAAGCACTAATATTTGCTGAAAGTAAGCTCATGTATTAACCTGTTGAATGGGTCAGTAAACATATGATTCCATCATTATAAAACACATATATGTATGTATATATATATATATATATACAGTGGGGCAAAAAAGTATTTAGTCAGCCACCAATTGTGCAAGTTCTCCCACTTAAAAAGATGAGAGAGGCCTGTAATTTTCATCCTAGGTACACTTCAACTATGAGAGACAGAATGGGGGGAAAGAATCCAGGAAATCCCATTGTAGGATTTTTAATGAATTAATTGGTAAATTCCTCGGTAAAATAAGTATTTGGTCACCTACAAACAAACAAGATTGCTGGCTCTCACAGACCTGTAACTGCTTCTTTAAGAGCCTCCTCTGTCCTCCACTCGTTAACTGTATTAATGGCACCTGTTTGAACTCGTTATCAGTATAAAAGACACCTGTCCACAACCTCAAACAGTCACACTCCAAACTCCACTATGGCCAACACCAAAGAGCTGTCAAAGGACACCAGAAAAGAATTGTAGACCTGCGCCAGGCTGGGAAGACTGAATCTGCAGCTTGGTGTGAAGAAATCAACTGTGGGAGCAATTATTGGAAAATGGAAGACATACAAGACCACTGATAATCTCCCTCGATCTGGGGCTCCACGCAAGATCTCACCCCGTGGGGTCAAAATGATCACAAGAACGGTGAGCAAAAATCCCAGAACCACACGGGGGGACCTAGTCAATGACCTGCAGAGAGCTGGGACCAAAGTAACAAAGGCTACCATCAGTAACACACTACGCCGCCAGGGACTCAAATCCTGCAGTGCCAGACGTGTCCCCCTGCTTAAGCCAGTACATGTCCAGGCCCATCTGAAGTCTGCTAGAGAGCATTTAGATGATCCAGAAGAGGATTGGGAGAATGTCATATGGTCAGATGAAACCAAAATAGAACTTTTTGGTAAAAACTCAACTTGACGTGTTTGGAGGAGAAAGAATGCTGAGTTGCATTCAAAGAACACCATACCTACTGTGAAACATGGGGGTGGAATCATCATGCTTTGGGGCTGTTTTTCTGCAAAGGGACCAGGACGACTGATCCGTGTAAAGGAAAGAATGAATGGGGCCATGTATCGTGAGATTTTGAGAGACAACCTCCTTCCATCAGCAAGGGCATTGAAGATGAAACGTGACGTGGGTCTTTCAGCATGACAATGATCCCAAACACACCGCCCGGGCAACAAAGGAGTGGCTTCGTAAGAAGCATTTCAAGGTCCTGGAGTGGCCTAGCCAGTCTCCAGATCTCAACCCCATCGAAAATCTTTGGAGGGAGTTGAAAGTCCGTGTTGCCCAGCGACAGCCCCAAAACATCACTGCTCTAGAGGAGATCTGCATGGAGGAATGGGCCAAAATACCAGCAACAGTGTGTGAAAACCTTGTGAAGACTTACAGAAAACGTTTGACCTCTGTCATTGCCAACAAAGGGTATATAACAAAGTATTGAGATTAACTTTTGTTATTAACCAAATACTTATTTTCCACCATAATTTGCAAATAAATTGTGATTTTCTGGATTATTTTTTTTCTCATTTTGTCTCTCATAGTTGAGGTATACCTAGGATGAAAAGTACAGGCCTCTCATCTTTTTAAGTGGGAGAACTTGCACATGGAACTTTTATTTCAGGTCATTGTAAATGTTGTATCCTCTATGTTTTATTTGGGAACTGGATGACTTCTTTGAAATGAATGTCATATTTGTTTTGTGGACTCAGGGCATCATTTTGGTTTTGGCTGGGTGCCTGATCCACCGACTATTTGTCATGCAGACTGCAGTGGAAATACTTCCCAATAGCATGTCGCCTGCCAAATGTTTGCAGAAAACATCAATTATTAAAGTTTTTGTTTTGTAGAAAGTCAGATGGATTATAGACGGTGCTCAACATTTCTAAGACTGCAACCCACTGCTGCTAAAGGAGCATAGGGGAAACACTGCAGGGCTCACACTGTTCCTGCACTCCGCTGGTTGTAGTTCGAGCAGCGGACCAGAAGCAGTTCCAGATCCCACTTGAATGACTGTTTATCTCTCCTTCACTTTGTTATGATCCGCACGCTCTATCTCCCGTTCAGTTTACATTCTTCTGAGCATCACCCCGTCACACTTCACTGAGGAACTTGGATCTGCTTTGAATTGATTCCTTTCTTCTTTGTTCTCAACACTGGCTCCCTCTCACACGCTCCGCTTGTCTTTGTTTCAGGGTGAGGTTCAGAGGCTGTGCATATCGGCAGTGTGATCTCAAGCACTGTGAGTTTAGGTGTGCAGCTCAACCTCTGTGTTTTAGCACTTAAAATGAATGTGAAAATGAATAACAGTAGAAAATAAAAAAACTTAAATATACAATAAAAATATCTATAAAAATAAATACATGTTGACAGTCTACAGATTCATTTATTTCACTATCAACTATACGCTATGAAGGGCCAGTTACTGCTAACAACATTTTAAAGTATGATATAAAAGAATAAGGATAATTAAAATACCTTTATCTGAAAATACTCCAAGACAAGTAAAAGTCCTGAATTAAAATTGTTACTTGAGTAGAAATATAGAAGTATTGACAGTAATAACTTAAAGTGTCAAAAGTAAAAGCACTCAATATGCAAAATGGCTCTATTAAAAGTATGATATTATAGAACATTAATTTATTACGTTTTAATTGCTTCCTATACATAAGACCATGTAAATATTGTAGTTTGTCGATATTGAGAACATTTTAGGATAGGATAGGATATAACTCTGTATATTGATAGTACATCATTATATAAAAAAATTGTTTACTGACGGTTTTTCTCAACAGCAAAGTGTAGAACATTGGCTGGCAATGTAGTCATGAAAAGCCATTAAAGGAGACATTTAACAAGAGTTTTAAAGAATAAAATGTCATACCTGCAGTATAGACCAGTGCTTCTCAAAGTGTGGACCACTGGTGGTCCGTGAGTATATTGGTAAAATTTCACATTTTAAATAAATAAATAAATTGAACTTTTTCTCACGTGAATATCTCCACAATGGTGTGAGCTTAAGTTTCACGTTCGATTGCATGACATAGCCCAGCGCAACACCTTCGTCACACATGTTGCCACTTGTTTGTACCATTTCCAGGCGATTTGTAATCTGTTCTAGAAAAACGATGTGTTTTATGAACATTTATCCATTCTGGAAGTAGATTTAGATGTTTTAGGAGTTATAGTATTATTATCTAATATATGCATCCAATGACGCATTGCATGAAGTCTGTTGATGAATAAGAGACTGTTGTTCGGGCTGCATAAAGGTTTTTTTATTTTAGTTTTGTAGGCAGACCATGCAGGCCAGCCCGATGGTCACCAAGGTTCATGTTTTAATAGCATTTTTACAAAAAAAGCCCAGGCGAGCCTAACATGTGAAAAAAGGGCTTAGACCTCAGAGAGTTGAACTTGGGCCTGCGACCATAGTTTTACTGTATTTTGTTTTGAAAATCCACAGCGGAGGTTTGTGTCATAGGTACAGTACATGCGGTGTGTTTTGCATATCTCTCAGTAGCCAACGATCTGTGAGTCTGTTGGCTCGATCATAAATTCCGTAATAAATGTAGTCTACATTTCATAAGAGGTATAAAACCTGAGCTTTTTAAATCGCATTTTAACGAAATGCTTATATAATCTGTAGTTGTATTTGTATTGTTGATTTAATGTGTGAACGAGGCGATATAGAGAAGGTTAAGCTGTCATTATTAGGCTGTCATTTGTTATATACGGTTGGAATGGTAAGCAGGCCTATTGCTTTGGGATATTTGGGGAGTTAGGGGGTCCGCAAGTATTTTTGTAATGGTTACGTGGTCCTTGGTGTGAAGAAGTTGGAGAAACACTGCTATAGACAGACTATAACCAACAGATTATTTCATTCTTAACAATATCTTTACAAAAATCTTGATCTATATCCCATTTCCTTAACTGGCATTAAATCAACAGTTAGCATTTGTGTTTTTTAAACAGATGATGATCATGGACAAGCAAAGAGGAGGGAAAGGGAAAGCTGATGGGAAAGCATCACCGACAGCAGCTGAGAGGGAAGACAGCCAACAGTCAGCAGCAGAAGTCACCAAACTGAAGGAGATGATGACCCACCGTGACAATGAGATCAGTATCCTTTGACCTGGTGGAGCCATCTTAAGTATTCTTTCCATGATTTGTTGTTTCCTTGTCTTACAAAGACCATAAGTCTGTTATTGATCGTCTGGTCAGAAGGCAGGGCTACACTTACTTGCTTTTTGTTTAAATAGCCAAAGTTATTTCTGCTACAGAAAGGACTTTCAGATGGTGACAGATGACTGCAGTCGATTAAAAGTTACAGATCTTTTCTTCTACCATCTTTCCTTCTAAGTAAAGGTAAATACTTGTGTAACTTTTTTGTTGTCTGTCCTGTACCAAAGCAGTTTTTAGGCATTATTTTGAAAAGAGAAAGCAGTTTAGTAACTTAACGCCGATTCTTCACCGGAAAGTCGGCAGGCCGTCATTTCGCCAGGCAGTGCAGTAGCGCTACTGTCATGGTAACGGCCTCAGTGAATGTTTGCGCTCTCCAAAATGCCCTTCTAGTTGCTTCTCTATGTATATGTGTGTCAGAGGTGCAAAGTTCCATTCCACTAACGGAGAGCTTTCCTGGGCTTGATTCCCTGTCGTACTACGTTTGGCTTGTTTGTGCAAATTTAACACACCTTGTCCTTTTATCCCATATGAGTTGATGCTCCCTGCATATTGTAGTGTGATAAAAGAGGATGGCGTTACACGGAAAAGGTAAGGTTAGGAAGTGCAGATCTGAAATGAGAATTCCAAACTTGTAGTAAAATGAGGGAAAATGTGCAATAACAAGTCGGTTTCAATTTTAAGTTCTGTTTCTGCATCCAGCCTCACAGTTGAATCACACTTCCTGTTAATAGTGATATCTTCATTTGCCAAAAACGGTATTCACCCTAAAGTAAATCAGCCTTTGTTATTGCACGTTTGGATTACAGCGTTTCTACAAACACATAAATTATGAAATCTAAGTTGTCTTGCCTTCATCACCAGTGCCCCAAAGTAAGCATGAGATGTTGTTTTAATGTGTATGTTCACATATATCTTCATCCAATGACTGCAGTTTATCATCGTTACTATTAATCATAATTATGGTATTTGAATATGATATTTCTAATAGCTTTATGGGATTATTCTCCCCTCTGCGGCTTGTTATTAGATCACAGCACATTAGTCAAAAAAATCGAGACGTCTGTTTGATAATTTAGCCACAAAAACCTCAGCGCTCCAAAATAAACAGAATATTATCATGCAGATATTTCACCACAGTATTTCTTGGAACAAGTCTGTGTAATGGGAAATCCTCCCTTCTCCTCTCTTCATGTCATACACTGGGTTTCACATGATGCAAAAGTAATCACTAAAATTAGTACTGTGCGTGTTTAAAGGCGCATATTTCAGCCAGTAATGTACACACTCGGCTGACCATATTCCCCTTATGTTCTTTCTTTGCAAGGTTTATATATAAAGTTTCAGTAGCCTAAACTATCAAACCTCACAGTTGGGGGGGGGGGGGGTCTGTCTGCAGCAAGTAACTCTATAGTTTAGGTTGACCAACGCTGCAGGGATGACATTAGTTCCAGCCATATCATTTATTTCCCAGTTCTCACATTGTTAATTATGGCAGAGTTCCCTATAAAACAAAAGGTTGTATCTCTCCCCCTGTGTTCCCATGCATGGTCGGTGGGGCACCTGGTAATGCTTAGTGGACTTTGCAAGGGTTGTGACACATCCACCACTAACATGATAATTGAGCAACAAGGAGGAGTTTGTAACTAAGTTAAAATGTTGTTATACAGTCATTCCTTGATGCTTTTTTGGAAGTTCCTAATGCCTCCATGCTGGCGATAGGCTCTTAATACGCTTGGCTAGATGTGATACATTTTCTAGTTGTCCATCCATCACATTTATTTGAATCTGAAATCTCAGGAAGTCCTCAAGGATTTATTTTCTAAGGGTGTTTTTGCCAAGATTAGCCTTTATTGGAGAGTGACGGTGTGAAAGGGGGAGACAGAGCGAATGGAAATGTGTAAATGGTCCCAAGCTGTCCCGTTACATGGGACACTTCTACAGGGGTAGCCAGACCTAGAGGAAATATATTCAAATTTGCCAATCATTTCCAATTGAATGACTCAAGGATAAACTTATTAGACTCGACTCGCCAAAGGTCACCTAACAGAACTTGTTTGTATTTTTACCATATTACTATAACTTAGAGATGAGGATTATGCACAAATGTCTTATATGATACAATTATGAGATTTTGGTCAAACATGGATGTAATTTCAACTTCACTGATTGGCGGAGGCATACAAACTTAAGGCGGTAATTATAGTTTGTAAATCTGTGCTAGCAATCTACAGAATATTTTAAGGACCAATAATATTCACAAATTGCCGATAATACAGTTTCATTTTCTCTTGGCTCACAATCGTGTTCAATGTATCCAAGAAGGATTTGGCTAATAAGTAATCATAATAGCAACAGTGATACGGCAAAGAAGGCTTCTCATTGTGTGGTTACTGCTTTGACAAAGGTTCCCTGGATTCTCTTAACAACTCTGTCCGTTGTTCAGCTTGATTTCTTACATCAAGGCTCCAAAATTCACTCAATAAAAAATAATGCTGACAATGTATTACTCAAAAACTCTACAGTCGCCTGGCTCCTACTGAACAGAACATCTCTAGGTCTCATAGTTGGAGTAGTTTATGTTCTGGGCTAGAGATTTTTGGCTCCTTATTTTCAGCTTCAGTATTAGCATGGCTCTTTAGAGACGGTGGATAGCCAGTGAAATATGTTGACAATGAACTGATGGATTCGTACGGACATTTGTTCCCGGACCACGCTTCCAAATGACTTTGGTGATACCTTGACTCTTCATTCAGTGCTACCAGCAGGTTGCCATTTCTCTGATTTATTGCTGGAAAAGGTCTTTAGAAAGAATGTCAAAACACAGGGGAGAACATTGCTTTGTGCTTTAGTGCCCACAAAAAAAGAAACACATCAAATATATTAAAAAGGGAATTGTATTCCGGCATTCCAACACATTTGATGGACATCACAGTATGAAAGTAGCCTTTGCATTCTCTGCTAATGATAACACAGCGACTCACTAAGGGTTTTGTTTTCCACCAGCTGCATTTGGTTTTAGCATATATGCAAATCAGTGTTGATTGGATGAAATGACCTAAATCAGTCATATTGCAGATAGGATTTGTTAAGTCTTTGATTGAACTGATTACAAACCTATATAGCACACTACAGGAAAGGGAAACCCCCAATAAGAATATAAGAACCCCTTTTAAAGCTATAGTGTATTATGCATCTTTAAAGGACAAAGAAAGTATAACCGCCTCACCATACTATAGCTTTTAAAAGCTTTAGGACAATATTTGCATTGTAAGGATATGTCAAACATTCCATTATCTAAATGCAATGCTGATTAACTTCTTAAAGGATTTTTCATATTGTAGTATATGGTATTCTAAATTGAAGCAATTTGCGGCACTACTGAGATTGGCACTGCACCTTCGCTAGCTTTGGCAACAAAATATATATTTGGTGGGATGTCTGCTTTATTGGACAGTATAATAAAGAGTGACAAGAAAGATGAGAAGGAGAGATGGAATGCACTTCATGAGCTCAGTTTGACCACATTTTGAGTGCAAGGCATGTGAAGCAGCCCACAGATCTTACGTGCAACCCCCAAGAAAACATTTCATCCTATTCTCGAGGGCTATGTTGGGGTTCAGCATACATGAAGATATCAGACGCCGGAGATCTCGCTAATGGAAAAACCTGCTGAACAACCGTTTGAAGTAATGACTTGTATGAAACAATGACATAGGACCCACAGAAGTCATATTTCTCCGTTCAACTTGGCTGCTAGAGGTAGTTTTGATTTTTTTTCCGGTTTAGATTTTGGCAGTTTTCAGAGGGCTGCATGGTTGGTTTCTTTGGAAACTGTAATTGTAGACCTGGTTTCTTCATGTTATTGTTCCCACTGACATCCCCCTTTGTATTGGTGGACAGGAATATAAACCAACGTCTCCAACTCCTTCATAACTACGTCCATGCCTCCTCCCAAATAATGACAATCAGACTTTTTTTCTACAAACATCCCCAATTATCTGCTGACCACCACAGTCTGGCCACAAGTGGATGTCTGCTAATCTCATGATAGAAGCATGCTTAAGGAATAGGCTTGTGTTGTCTCTAAATTATGGGTTGTGATTCGGCCATCAAACACACTTCCATTTATAGTGGAAAAACAGGCACACAGGCACCGAGCTGAATATGTTAGGAGAATGCAATCTTTTATTCATGTAGTTAATGTAAATTAAGGATGTAGAGGTTAAACAGACTGTTTTTCGCTAGCGTACCTCTGATAGAATAATACTAAGCCATTGTCCCTTTCCCTATTTGTTCCCCGTGACAAGCTTTCAGTAAGATGTAAAGCAATCTTGGCAGCTTTCTGTAAAATAGCTTGATCATGTTTTTTCCCATACAATTCTAGTTCACACGATTACAATTTTTCCTCCGTCAGCAGGTTTGAGTGTAAAAACATGGCCTCTGCTAGCACCGTTGTCTCCTTTCACACCAGTGGTAGGAACAGCAGTGTTATACCCCTTTGATACAGTAAACGTAGCTCTACAAGTCAGAAAGCATACCAGCATTCAGCCATCAATTTGATAATCACATTTGAAAGTCCTGAAATAATTTGTGCTCTGTTGTGTGTGTGTGTGTGTTATTATTATTCTAAGAAATGTGAGGCCAGCTGAAAGCAATTGATCGAATGCTGAGTAGTGCTGTACTTTTGAAAGCTTTTTACATTAAATGGAACAGAGTAAACGATTATAGTAAATTGTCTTAATGTATAGAGACATTGCATATGGAGAAGTAAAAAAACGTGTCATGGCAATACAAATGTTAACGGGATCTAATTAAGAATTCTTGCCTTCTCATGTAGCCACTCAATTACCCTGTCATAGATGCATATCTACACTTGGATTCAAGTAGACAAACACAAGAATATAACCTCATCAGTGGGGAAGATTTTGTGGAATCTTGGTGAAGTATGCAGCCTCTCTGGCTCCTCTTCTCTCCACTGATTCATCCCAGACCATGACATCTTCCCCAGCCTGTAAGGTCAGACGCTGAGAGCATGTCAGCACTCTGCCATTATTAAAAGCCCTCAATAGAGCTGGCTGCCTTTTTGAGGAACCCTTCATCCCGAAATCAATCCATCAATCAGTTTTTCCGCTTACCTGTATTTATTGAACTAGATTGTTGTTGGTTTCGTTGCCAAGTGTTGGAGATATAGTCTTATAGATGTCTGCTTCCTCTCCAGTATAATGGAAATAGATGGCATTTGGCTTGGTTTGGTGTTTAAAGCCCAAAAAATACATTTGAAAAACTCAACAGCAATGTCTCTTTCAAGAAGTCAAGATCATCCACAGAGCTTGTTGTGAGCAGTTTCATGTAGGAACATTTCTACATCTCGTGTTGACACTAGATCAAGCCTCCTTGAGTATTTGCCTTGTTAACGGTTATTCGGTTTGCGGGTGTAGTTCGACAGAATAAAGAAGTCAAACTGCAACAAGGTCTATTGATTATCTTTAGTAATTGGGTCATCCTTTTTGGAAAGAGACATTGCGTTTGGGTTTTTCAACATATTTTTTGACATTATGCGCAAAAGAAGAGTGCCATGTAGTTCCATTTCATTGGAGAGAAGTCAATCATCCCGTTTCCATCCAGTACTTTGTCCAAAACAAGATGAAAAAGATTACTTAACTCATTCCCCACAGGTATCCTAGTTAAGATGTTGAAGAAGGAGAAAAAAAGAGCCCAGGATGCTGTTGCTCAGCTTGCTAACACCGTCAATGGCCAGAGAACGGCGTCCCAGGATGCCTCAGGGTTGTCAACAATGCCACTATTGAGGGAAGGGAGCCCAGACAGCATCTCAACCGGCCATAGAGGACGAGCCATACAGCACATGAAAAGAGGTACGTTAAGAAACTAGATTCTGTTGTGCTTGTCTTTACAAAGCAAAGAATTGGAAAGATGTAAGACCAATCATGTTTATAGCTGCCAGAAGTGTTCTGATATTGATAGGGTGTAGCACTCTAAGCATTTCAAAATGGCGTACAAATTGAACTGTGACATGTTTGAGACATCTGGTGCTACTCCTTGTTGTGGCTCTGATAGCCAAGGCCCTCTCCAGATAGGATTGTTAGCCTTTGACCTGTCGAGGCAACACAACTACTTGGTTAAGCTTAGGAAGAGATCCTTGTTTGTGTTAAAGATCCCATGTCATGCTTTTCCTGTTATTACCCGTCCCCTTGTGTGTTATGTAGCTTGTTATGCATGTAAACAGTCTGCAAAGTCACAAACCCTCAAAGTACACACTGTAGCGAGTACAACTCTAACACAGAAAATACGTGTCTATGCTGCCCCAGAACGCCTCGTTGGAGATTTTATTTTTCAATTTTTTTATTCCGGGAACCAAGTGACGTAACGACGACCCTTCCGTGGATTGGTCCAATCTTTTCTCAGCTGCAGCTCCGCCGATTTCTCCTCCCTGAGACGGCGGGACGTAATAAACATACTTGTTTTTTTACCTTTAAAATAAGTATGTTTATTACGCAACATAAATATGTAACATTAGTTTGTGCTTAAGTTAAGTAACAAAAGCAAGTAAGGAAGTAAGCGTAGATTTTTTGTTTCACGCAGGACTACTGCAGAACTTCCAGCGGTGAAAGTCCATGTTTTTTTATTTATCTCAGTTCCAGTATTTGGCGGATTGCTCTATCCCGTGGTCTTGCATTTAGTGTCATTACAGTGTTGCAGTTGATAAGCTTATCTCCATTTAGATAAACAATGCCATATCTCTTCAGAGCTTTGCAGTTTTACACTTTACAGTGAAAGTATAACAAAGAGTCAGTTAGTAGCAGAGCCTTCAGACTGCAACTTCTCTTGGATTGCCATCTATGTGTAATTTCTTCAGACATGAGCTTGGTTTAAATGTAATAGGAATGAGGAGGTTGCTAAAAGTCAAGCTAATCAAGCTTTGAGATATCCTCCCTAGCCAGCGGCAGCATTTATTTGGCCTTTCCTGTTTAATTTTGGCTAAGTGGAGCCTTACGTGTGATGATAAACCTGAGACCTTATAACGAGCTCAGTCATAGCCATCGGGCACAGCGGCAGGAGCCAGAAACTCATCACAGCGAGGCTGCGCTCCTGTCTGCGCTAACCACAGCTCCGTCATCCTTTTTGACATTTTTGTGTAATGGTGCCCAGTGCGGTTGTAAGGCCAGCACAGAGCTAATTGCAAACAGGGACTCTGAAAGAAGAGCCTATTTAAAACAAACAGGTTTGAACTCTGTCCAGTCAGACTTCGTAAGCGATTCGGTTATTCATCGAAGGGACAATGAGGAGCTCTGTGATGGATGGCTATGAAGCAGCGGTTCATACAACCACTGATAAACGATGTGCCATATGTATATGTCTCTCCGAATGATATGTTATCTAATACGGAGCATGATCATTTGGGTCATCTCACCAGAGGATTTGTTTTCACTTGCCCCAGCATTGCCTCCATTAGTTCCACTTCCATTCGGTTGACCTGTGACTGTGTGGCATCTGCGGCCTTACAATCACACACCACACAATTAGCCAATTGGAAAGACGAATTGTCATGCTGTCTTTATTTGTTATTATATTATATGATCTTGAACAATATATCACCCGTCTGGTTAGTATGATATCTTACGAAAGGTTATTTTGTGTTTTTTTAGGCATTTTTCTGCGAATGTCCAGCAAAATTAGCAATGATTGCCCTTGTGCAAAGCCTGTTTCGGCAACAGAGATTTTTTTTAACAACAGAAAAAGTGTTGTTACTTAAAGTGGACCTATTATGCTATATTGAAAAATATATTGTAGGGCCATACCTATACAAAACATGTCTGTGAAGTTTTTTGCTTAAAATATCAAACAGACCACTCATTGTAGCCATGCCTCATACTACTCATACCCCTCTTTTGCAGCCCTGTTATGGCGCATTTCCACTGCAACGGGGTAGCCCCGTTTAAGCGTCCCTAAGCGTCCTCGCTCAGGCCTCGGGCTGCCTCGCTGGCCGTCCGAGGCCGTGGCGCATTTCCATTACAGTTTAGGACCTGGGGTAGCAACGCAGTGTAGGCGGGGCGATCGGCTTTGTTTTTGTTCACATTTCGAGTTGTTCCGTCGAGCTCCCGCTGGATTTGATCATCCCCAATGATATGTAGGAACGTCGTCACTTCCTCGGTCGACCACGGTGTGCTTTTCTTATTAGACGTAGCCATTTTTGTAGCTCATCCGTTTACAAAATGCTGTTTATAAAAATGCTGCAAGCTTGCTTCTAAATATATATGCGACGCTAGGGATGAACTCGCGCGCGATCTTGTGACGATTCTCTCTGACCAATCAGCAGTCGAGAGTGTTGACGTCACTAGTTCAGCCCTGGCCCTGGTCTGATAGAACCACGATTTTATGGGGCCGGAAAAAGAGGGAAAAGTACCCTGCTAGCCGGTACTAGGCTATATGGAAAGGCCACCAAAAACTGGCCTGGCCGCTTGAGGACGGTTAAGGACGCTTAAACGGAGCTACCCGCTGCAGTGGAAATGCGCCATTAGAGAAATGCAGATTTTGGGTCCTTAGCTTGAAAAAAAGAGGAGGCGGATATAATGCCTGATCAAAATTCTACCGGAGAAAAGGTAAAATTCTGCTTTGATAAAACGCCATCCTATTCTAAACCACAACAAGAATTATTTCTGAAACAGTATGGAGCTCAAATGCTTTTGCTCTTGCAGGTTTATCACAAGGTGAGTTCCTTTTTTTATTTCCAGCTTTTTAAACACATGTGCTCTCCAGTACAGGTTAGCTCTGAGTGTTAGCGAGGCTTGCTAATGTAAACAAACACGAGATTACGTCCAAAACACGTCAGGCATTGTTTCTGATGGCAACTTTCTGTGGGTCCGCCGCTGATTTGACGTCAGATCGGCAGCAAATCTGTATCTGCTCGTTGTACCCCTTTTTAAAAGATTTGGATACGGAGGAAAAGAGAAAGGGTTTTATTTTCTGACGCTGCGTGAGTTCCCCGACGCACCGGGGACACATATTTATGTATTAAAGACATCACAAAGTGCATTTTGCATGATAGGTCCCCTTTAAGTATGGAAGTTTCGTTACAAAGTCTGGTTTATTTGGAACCACCCATCCCCACCCACATCCTCATGACGCAGACTTTTTTGCACCTGTCCTATGTCACAATTACGTGGGTTATATATACATTTCTCAAACTTTACATAGGTATAAGACCAAACTGTGATAGAGAACAACCTCTCAATGTTGAGGGAAAAGCGTTTCTTATGTTTAGTGCACTGGTGTTCACATTTTTTCCAATGAGCATCTGGAGGCTCTTATGAACAGAAACATAAATATCTACATGACCTACAGTGATTTGAGTTGCAATAAATCCAAACATTGAAAATATTACATGTAAATAATCCAGCTGTTTCATAATCAAATGAAAGAGGACATGAGTCATTTCTGTCAGACACACAAACACAAGTCATCGTGAAGAATCGTCCTGGCTCTTGAATAAATGTTGCACAAAGTGACTTTTGGCAAGGAAAACCCTAAAAAGTCAGCAGTATCTGCCTCAAAGGACATTTTCATATCTGTTGCCTCCAATATTGAGGGATAGGTTATTACGTGTTACAGCCTCCATGATCATGATACAGCGTATATACAGTGGGGCAAAAAAGTATTTAGTCAGCCACCAATTGTGCAAGTTCTCCCACTTAAAAAGATGAGAGAGGCCTGTAATTTTCATCCTAGGTACACTTCAACTATGAGAGACAGAATGGGGGGAAAGAATCCAGGAAATCACATTGTAGGATTTTTAATGAATTAATTGGTAAATTCCTCGGTAAAATAAGTATTTGGTCACCTACAAACAAACAAGATTTCTGGCTCTCACAGACCTGTAACTTCTTCTTTAAGAGCCTCCTCTGTCCTCCACTCGTTAACTGTATTAATGGCACCTGTTTGAACTCGTTATCAGTATAAAAGACACCTGTCCACAACCTCAAACAGTCACACTCCAAACTCCACTATGGCCAAGACCAAAGAGCTGTCAAAGGACACCAGAAACAAAATTGTAGACCAGCACCAGGCTGGGAAGACTGCATCTGCAATAGGTAAGCAGCTTGGTGTGAAGAAATCAACTGTGGGAGAAATTATTAGAAAATGGAAGACATACAAGACCACTGATAATCTCCCTCGATCTGGGGCTCCACGCAAGATCTCACCCCGTGGGGTCAAAATGATCACAAGAACGGTGAGCAAAAATCCCAGAACCACACGGGGGGGACCTAGTCAATGACCAGCAGAGAGCTGGGACCAAAGTAACAAAGGCTACCATCAGTAACACACTACGCCGCCAGGGACTCAAATCCTGCAGTGCCAGACGTGTCCCCCTGCTTAAGCCAGTACATGTCCAGGCCCGTCTGAAGTCTGCTAGAGAGCATTTAGATGATCCAGAAGAGGATTGGGAGAATGTCATATGGTCAGATGAAACCAAAATAGAACTTTTTGGTAAAAACTCAACTAGACGTGTTTGGAGGAGAAAGAATGCTGAGTTGCATCCAAAGAACACCATATCTACTGTGAAACATGGGGGTGAAAACATCATGCTTTGGGGCTGTTTTTCTTTCAAAGGGACCAGGACGACTGATCCGTGTAAAGGAAAGAATGAATGGGGCCATGTATCGTGAGATTTTGAGAGACAACCTCCTTCCATCAGCAAGGGCATTGAAGATGAAACGTGGCTGGGTCTTTCAGCATGACAATGATCCCAAACACACCGCCCGGGCAACAAAGGAGTGGCTTCGTAAGAAGCATTTCAAGGTCCTGGAGTGGCCTAGCCAGTCTCCAGATCTCAACCCCATAGAAAATCTTTGGAGGG